CTGTTTTTATTAGGAAACTTTCTACCCCATACAATTTATCAGTGCATTTTGAACATATGGCTGGCTAGTGTTTTTAGAAACTCTAGGCACCTTGCCAGGATCATCTGCCCCCAACAGTCTTTATGTCCAAGTGCAGGGAGGCTGGACCCACTGATCTTGTGAGGTCCCTCCCAGCCCCTAACATCTATGAATCTATAGGTGTCTCTCTTTATGACATTAGCATAAACAAAACACCACATTTGATAAATGACTTTACAGGCCTTCCCTGACAACAAAGCAATGGAATTTTCCTGTACCTCCAATTCAGTAAAGCTCACTGCCTAGTGCCAAAATGCAGACTTGTTTCTCAAAACAAAGTAAAACTGCCTGGGATCTTATTTTGCCTGCCTAACTGTGGAGCAAGTGGAAAGGGCATAAAAGCAAAATGGCAAGGAGGAAAAACATACTGTACGGGTTGAAGTTTCCAATATCCATCCCGCACAGAAGAGCACTGGGGCTGATGTGGCTTGATATCCTCTTAGATAATCTTAAGAGATTATAAAGTCTTCACGTAAATTCCTAATCTGCCACCATCTACATCAAGGAAAGTAAAAAACACCAGAGTGGGCACATCTCTTTTATTAGACCCAGGCTTGGATATTTTTGTCTCTGATGGATTTTCGGTGTGCATTCATTCTGGTATGCAGTTGCCTGCCTATGTCCTTAGACCAGAAATGGGCAAAGTCCAGCCTGCAGGCCGGATCCAGTCAGCAATGGACTCCATTTCCCAGCTGCCCCTGCGTATGGCTGGAGCCAGTCTTCATGGAGACCCCAGCTGCAGCTGCACAGGAAAAGCTCAAAGCTGGGGTTGCCATAGATAACAGCCGCAGCCATGCTAGCAGCGCACACCAGGGGCCTGCTCCAAAGGCACCAGGAACTTGAGATGGGAGCAGCTTGCTGCAGAGCCAAGGCAGAGCCATGATCCCCTGCTTGCACACCCCTGCCTGGAGCAGGCAGGCTACAGATTGTGGTTCTGCCCTAGCTCCAGAGAAAGCTGCCCCCATCCCAAGTTCCCAGTGGCTCTGGAGCAGCCCGCTGGCCTGTTCACTACATGCGCTGCCAGCACAGCTGTGGCTGGTTTCCGTGGTAACCCCAGCCTTGAGCTTTCCCACACAGCTGCAGCTGGGGTGTCCATGGAAAAACAGCCCCCAGCCACGCAAGCAGGGGCTGCTGGGAAATGGAAGTCCGGCTACTCTACCGGATCGACCCTTTTGCCCACGCCTGCCTTAGACCAACTTGGCTACATCCAAAAACCAATACATGGTGCAGCTTCAGAATATACTAATCAATCAAATCCACAGAATTAGGCTCCATCTACACATTACATGCAAGACATGATTAACTAGTTAATCACATCTTAAGTTGTGACCCAGCCACACATTCAGTCAATTAATAGCATGATAAAACAAGGAATAAGCCACAAAGTTATTCCACAAAAAATGTGGAACAACTTTGCAGCTCATTCTTATCATGTCATTAACTAAACATGTGGCTAGGTGCTCCCTTGTGGCTGATGAGCCTCCCAACCGCAGGGGTGCACCACAGACTGCTGGGACTGTGAGCCTCACAAGCTGACAAGGCACATGGCCATGGCAGCATCCCACATGCTGCTACATCTGCAAGTCTCGTCAGCTGTGGGGCTCACAGCTGCATGAGCTTGGTACTTGCTGGTGCAGGGAAACCTTGGGATCACGATCCCAAGCTTCCCCTGGACAAGCAGTAAGGTGCGATTGGATCTGATGCTGAATCCCACAATCATGCCTTCTGCCATACATATGTGGCATAGCAGGAAGCATGATTGTGTGGATCATAATCTGATCCTATCACGCCTTTACCTGAACATCTAGAGGGGCCCTTAGACTACAGCAGTCACTACAGTTAAAAATACACAAAGCTGCTGTGACCAGCTAGAAAGTGGAAGAATGAGGGGGGAAAAAAGGCATAGGAAAAAAAAACCCCATCACGCTGCTGCCAGCCTCTGGATGAAAGTGCAATGCAGCTGAATTCTTGCCATCTCACCTGTGGACATTGGAAATACTCGCCAAGTTCATGATGCCATAGCTCATCATCACAAGTATAAAAATGTGAAGGGAATACCTTGAAGCAAAAAAAATAAACAATACAAAGTTTAGTCTAAGAACAAGTTTGCACAGCAGGTAGCTGGGGGGTAGGGGGGAGGTGGAAGCTTTTCTTCAGTATAGAATCAAGAAATCATAGAAAATTAGGGTTGGAAGAAACCTCAGGAGGTCATCTAGTCCAACCCCCTGCTCAAAGCAGAACCATTCCCAACTGAATCATTCCAGCCAGGGCTTTGTCAAGCCAGGTCTTAAATGATAAATCCATTTATGCAGAGTCAGTAAAGATAGACTTCACAATGCTGCTTTATAGAGTTCTTATTTAAAATAGAAGAGAACTTTTGAAAGAGATTTATCAACCTGTTTGGGATTAAAATGTTGCATCTCAAAACAATCAAACCCAGGACTGGATATATCTTGTCAAAGTTGACCAGTTTTTTATGTCTTTGCAGGAATTTAGTTTCCCTTTAATACCATGACATTCATAAAACAAATATACATCTACAAACATTTTCCACAAACATTTTGTTTTGTTCTGGGGATCTGGGTTGGATAGGTTTCCCCCACCAAACCTGCAGCAAACAAAGATTAAGACTAAATACAAATAAAGTAAAACATTAATTCTAGCTAAGTTTTAGTCTATCTGAAAACTGACTACTCACCATCCAAAACAGAAAACAGCAAAGTATATTCCAAAGAGAGTGGCAAATGCATGACGAACAACAGAACTGGCATGACTGGGGCTCAAATAGATGCGAAACCAAAAGGCAGCCAGTAGGGCGAACAGCTGACAGGCTACAAAATTGACCTGAAAAAAGAAACCAAGAGTAAAACATGGAATCCAATCTGACTGCAGGCTTCATTAGTGAGGATCTCAACTACTCCTTGAGATTCAGGAGACAACTCATCTATACAACAACAGAGTGGAGCTAGACAGAAAAAGTAGTATGCGTGGTTGATTTTACTTCCTTTGGGCTGGGAACTCTGCCTGACCAAAGGATCAAATCCTCTGAGCCACTGTGGGGCTCATCTAATGCTCTCATATACAGGACTAGGAGCAACCTCACTGTTTCTCACACTTCCACTCAGCTCACAGTAGTCATCTGGCTGGGTATAGTGAATCCTACCTTGACCCACTGGAGTAACGTGGGAATCATGACTCTGCAGCATTGTCCTGGCTCCTAAGGCAGCATAACTACGTACTGCCCACAGCCTGGCAAATCATTACGAAGAGAGCAGGTATGTGCAGGACATGAGGCCAATACCAGAAATCACTACCAGAACAGACAGGGCCTCAGCATACAGAATAACACAAACCTGGCTTTTTCTACTGCCCTTTCACTCAATAGCCTCGTCAAAGCCACAGAATCTTAAAAAATAAAATACAGCAAATCTCTAAGGTGCTCAGGTATTACAGAGATGAGCAGGGCACTGACACACAGAGAATATCTCATATCAGAGAATACCAGAGGCAAGATTAATTCCACCTTAATGTTGCTGAGGCCTTTTTTCTTGAGCAGTCATTTTTAGCTCTCTGGCAGCAGTTCATTTGAGATTGAGCAAGAACCTACATACACAGCTACATTTCAGCAACAACCATGGATTTTAGAATTACACTAAGCTGTAAATCTGTGCCAGGTCAGTACATGTAACTCAGAAATCCTATGACTTCTTGGTTACTGAAATGCTTAGGGCAGTGGTGGCCAATCTTTTCGGGAGGCATGCCACAAGTTAAGTGGCTCATCTAATGCTCCTATACAGAACAAGAAACAATGCGATCCCCATCCCCAAAGAGTGTCTAATAGATTTTACAGCCTGGGGTGCCAGAACGGCAAGAGAGGGGTTCAAGTCCCAGGTGTGCAGAGTAGAGATGTAGCAGGACACTGCTGAGAGGTGTTACCAGCAAGATCCAGGTTAACCCTTCCCTGGTCTGGCAACCACTGCAGTTTCATATGGCAGGCAAGGATCCAAAATCCTTAATTTAGAAGCTGCAGGGCCAGTGATGTTTTAACTTGGCTTTTGGCAGTGACATCTCTTCTTCAAGAAACACCCTGCTGCCTCTCTATTCTGTGCAGGCAGAAGTTTGAGCCCCCTGCATCCATTCCACTGAGTGCCTGGGGCTCACATGCCACATACAGTAGCTGCTCATGGTAGCAACAGGTGTCTTTACCCTGCGACAGTCTCAGTTGAGGCACTTTGTGAGGCGGTCCCAAGACACTTTCAGTGATGGGTTTGCCATATGCTCAAGGACAGCTTCAGGGCTCACACTCCCCATGGGACAGAACAGGCAGAAGCTTGCCCAAATGACAGGGTGCTGTACCAGCTGGTCCCTCCATGCCCAAGGATGGAGCAGCACTTTGGCACCTGCAGGACCTTGTGAGGTAGCACTTCAAAACCCATGACACCGACAGGAAGACTGGCATCCTTGAGCAACTATATGCCAGAAACTGCCTAAGAGGTGACACTGGGGTCCCCTAGAACAGCCAGCTGCACCCCAACTAGGCAGACCCTTGAATAGGAACTCTCTCAGTGGGGATGCCCCCAGTCGCACTGTCAGGGCCTGGGTGATTCCACGGGGCAGTGGGATGAGATGTCCCCACAAGCTGGCTCTGAGGCAATGCTACCCATAGCATCCTAGGGGCAGCAAAGCTGGAACTCCAGGTTTGGCCATAACTGTGGGCACCTGGGACAGATAGCTTAGGTACAGAGCAACACCAGGGCACATGGGACTGCATGAGGGCTACCCTGCTATATTTCTGGGGGCAAGGGGCTATGTCTTACTGTGGTTCTCTCGACTCAGAGCTTGCTGTGGGTATGCAGGTCCCAGTTGGAGACTGCCAGGCTGGGCTGGGCCAAGCCAAAGAAATAACAAGTTTTGCCCTGGAAAAACCTCCCTGCACCTTGAGGTGTGTCTGTGGGGTTTAGGAATGCTGAAGGGCAGGGAAAGGGAAGGACAGTTGTTATTCTTACCTGTACCGGGGAGGCAAAGACCCAGGTGCTGTTGTTTCTGTACACTGACCTGCACAGGGCTGCCTCCCTCCCCTCATGACAGTGGGGCACTGGGGACTATTCTCCCCCTTATTCTAGCATAAGGCTTAGAAATAGCACGGAAAAAATGGTGGCACACACTTCAACAAAGGCTAGCAAGCAGCAAACATACCCAGATTCCCAAAAGGGGTTGTATTCAGGTTAGCAACCGAGGCTGAAGCCTGTGCCCCATTCATTTTCACTGCCAAATTAAAGTGAATGTGTGTACGGCTACCAATGTTGCAATCACACTTTCATTTGGCTTTACACAGCTATGTCCCAAGACACAATTCCTTCCCTGAGCTGCTTTTCAGGAAGCAGACCTACCTGTGCTGTGGCCCTTTGCACTGGACTGGACCAGCAAAACTAGCTCTAGCCCAATACTTCATTCTACTTTCAATACTTCAAGTCAACTTCTACATACAAAGTTACAAACCCTATTTAGACAGCAAACACTAATCGTGGAATCCTAATTTTCATTTAAATTTGTTGCAGTGAATTAAATTAACAGTAGCGTGCAGCACCATGGTTACAACATGCCATTAAAGTTATAAATCTAATTTAAGGGCTAACGATTTAAAGATACTTACTTCATAGTTCCTGAAAAGAAAGGTCAGCAAGCAAGTAGTTGGGAAAAAACAAAACAAGACAAAACATGCACACAAAAATATCAGCTTCCCTGAAAGTCATTTTGAAAGTAAATGAGAAAGCACCCCATTAAAAAAAAA